GCCTCGTTCCATGTCACACGCATTTTCAAGCAAAAAACTGTACAAACCGGTTGCTGGTAAGACGGCACCCAGTCGACCCGATTATCCACCTCACTAACGGACAAATCATTTTAACGTCAATTCCACATTTTTCAAGTTGAAAAGGAAAAACTAACGAAAGAAGTTGATTTGATGGGGTCATTAGTATTGAAATATTTTAGCCACTTCTACTACTTCTGCGGGCTCTCGGGACTGATGCAGGTGAGATTCTAATGATTCTGACACTAGAAATCCGTACAAAGTGACTCTTTGGCTCGAGAGGAAGATACCGATGTAATGCCGGGAAGAGGGACCGGTTCGACCAGATAGGTCTGTATTGTAAAGGTTTACATTCCCCGGTTTGGGCCCAACACCAAAATTAGGATTACATGCAACTTCTTATTATTCTGGTTCCAGCGAACATTTGCCTCTTCCCTAATCAAAGAAAAATATTTATCCATTTACAAGAATCTAATTTTTCTATGCTCGAGACAATTCTGAAATTTTTTACACTGATGGAGGAACATATGAAACAAACATTTCTAATAATTAAGGACAATTAGTTGCAGTAAGTTGACGAATTTAAATAAACAATTTTTCTCTTACACACTGATAGAAAAAATTATTTTTATTGAGATGTTTCTTTCTTGAAACAAGTATTGTATACTTGAACCAATTTCAAATAAATAAGATCTTATGGTGAATATCAATTATTTCTTCCTGAGATACATTCACTTAAATCAAATAAAACAGTCCTTGGCGCCAAGTCACATGTATTCACCACAAAAATGGAAAAGTTGTATTTTATTTTAACCTAATATAATCTCCAGTCGAGAAATTTTCTACTTTTATGAATTGATCAAAAATTCGTACCTAGGAGATGATTACATTGAGGAATGAATTTAATGTTAATTTCTCGAATGAAGCCGATGTTTACATTGAGCTTTCCGTACATCACGTTGAACGAAATTTGTGATATCCAAATTTGTACTGAATTGCCGTAATCTGTGATTCTGTTATTGTAAATTAATGCGATTTTTTTAGTCAAGAAATATAAACTTCTTTCAACTCAACATCTTACTGCAATCGCAAAGCTTTTTCCGCGTAACACTATTCATCATGATTCGAGATACGAAATGCTCACTTCAATTATAATTTACTTAGAACAACGTATGATCGTGTTGATTGAGATAAGAACGTATTTAGTCACGAGAATAATTTTGATTTCTCAGTAAACCAACGACTTTCTGGAGTTGGCAAACTTTTGGCTAGAAAGAAATCAAATACTTTCATTATTTCGACAAATAAAAGGAATTTCAATTCTAGAGAAGTTCGATTTCTCCCAATGAAATGTATCTCTAGAAGAGATAACTGATATTTACGATGAAATCATATTTATTTGAAAATTAACAACCAAATAATAGTTAATTCAAATAAAATTCTCTTGATAAAATTAATTTATTCTGTTAGTGTACACAGGACTTTTGTGGGACTTGTTGTTAAATTGCTAATACCGCAACTGCAAGTATTCAAAAATAGAAAAATGTGCTGGAACCAAGTTCCACTGGAATTAAAGAAAAAAATCGTCATTGAAAATTTAAAAATTTAATGGAAAAATCAATGAAAACTGTGAACTTCAGATAGATAGAAGGAATAATCAAGTAAATACATTCTTGAATTTTCAATTAATTGAAAATTAATTGTATTTTGGTAGTGAATATTGATGTTTCGATTAACAATTCAAGTAAGTTAGGGAATTCCCATCGTCGTGCTGCTCGATTTCATAATTTTTTTCCTACTAAATCGAATTCAATGTTACTAGAGTGGGATACTAAAAGGATTTTCCAGAGCCACCTCTCTAAGAAATTAAATTCAGTAGCGAAGTGATAAAACGTTTCAAGTCGATTATGACTATTGGTCAGTTTCCAATAAATATCTCGGAATCTAAGGCAAATGACGAAATTTTTGTTATAACCTTTTTTGTAGAGCGAATTAAGAGCTGCAAAAAAGGATTCTCTGAAAATTTCGATATTTCCCTTAGATTCAGAGATATTCTTCGAAAACTCAGCTAAGAGCCAAATCGATTTAGGCCGTTTTACTACTTCGCTATTGAATTTTTTCTTCTAACATTGTATTTACGCAAATAGTGCAGATATTTAAAACTTCAAGCCCCATATAACCCAATGCTAAAATCTCCATCCAGTGCACATCCCCTACTTTATTTCTGAATAATCAATTTGGGTTGGTGTATTAAAACTTTCATCAACACGAAGGAGATGACAACCGATCAGTTGAAGAAAAATGAAAAATTTCTGAATGCTTGCGTTTTTGCCTAAATATCGAAATTGAAATCAAGAGAATTTGTGTTGCAAGCTTTCCTGTATTGTTATATCTGTTTTCCTCAGTACAGATTAATTGGGAGTTTATCAGAGGGTACGGTAATGCCTTCCTGCCGAGTGTGACTCACTCTGACCACCGCACCTTTTTTAAAGCTAATAAGAAGAACCACAATTATCTATTTAGCAATGATACCAATGGCAATCGATAATTATCATAATTTTCCAAAGCAATTAATGGCTTCCCACTAATGTTTTATATCCACATTTGATTTCGTAGAAGGGAATGCTTGTTTTGTTTCACGAGTGTTATAAACAGATTAAAGATAATATTGACTCTTTAATGTATGCCCTTCTATGAAACTCTTTCACCTCCATTATCTATTTATGTTCGTATTAATCCCTCCCCAGAAAAGTTTGTCACGCTTTTCCATTTGCCGACTTACTGTCTCCATTCCCCCCTTGGTCATCAACGATCGTCAATCGAGCGTGTGTTTGACACTGAGACCCAGCACGCAATGGTACAAAGAAATGTTAACCGTATTAGGATTCTAGCCTGTACCAGAAAACTGTAGATAACGAGTACGTGTACTGGGTTTTGTAGACCGGATTTTCCCGGGGGTCTACCATGTCTCTGACAAATTGTTATCCGACAGAAAATATTTCCGAAATGTTCAATTTTCTATTGACATGCATTAAGAAGAACTAACCATTAATACTGTTGGATGAAAATTAAATTTCACGGACAGTTTTGTAGTAATTATTAGAAGAGCGGCATCAAATTTAATTTAGGGGAGAAAGAATCATGAAAATTCAATGAAATCGTAAAATTTTTAACATCTTACTTGAGTTTTTTTTTAGCAAAACACGTAGATTTAGTAGCAAATTACACTGTTAGAAAGAAAATGAAATTTCATGGACCGTTGACTACCAATTTTCAGGACAATGACACTGAATGCGATTTAGGGAGAAAAAAATCAGAAAATTTCACTGAAAAATTCCGTAAAATTTCACAATTTTAAGGAGTATAAAGACGAGAATTTTTCAATTTATTTGAATTTCCAATCTAATATGAATATTCAGTGTCAAATTGCATTGAATTTTCAGTGAAATCTGAAATTCCATGATTTTTTGCTTCCTAAATCACATTCAAGAATCCATTTTCCAGAGTTTTCTGCTTTTCTATTCATTTTCAGGGAAAAATGGAATGGAAATTTACACTGCTGTTTGATTTTTCCACAAATTCTGAATTTTCAATGACAATTTTTCCTGAAATTTCAGTGGAATTGAAACACGATAAAAATTTCCGGAATTTGGCGTAAATAGAATTTTCAATGAATTGTTGATTTCTATTAATTTTCATATGGGATAGTTGAATTAAAATTTACAGTTACCATTGATTCTCTCAAAAAATTGCTAATTTTCAAAGTCGAAATTTTTCGAAAATTCAGCAGAAATGTCACTTGATAAAAATTTCCATGAAGTGTATCAAAAATTGTTGACAGTTAAAGAGTGGCATATTAATCTAATTTTTAAGTAAAAGTAAATTTCCTTTGAAAATCATTTTTCGAAAAATATTTTGGAATCACAAAGAAATGTCGAAATATTTTGAAGATCTTTGTTCCCTGAAAATCATTTTTCACTGGACGGAAACGTATCACCGACTTCACAAGTGAATGAAAAAATTTCTAAACAACTGAGAACATTTTATAAAATGTTAAAATATCCTTTAGTTAATCGAGCAATAAATTAGCTGGTCATGAAACTAGTGAAGCGTTTCCTGGGGGCTCAGTCGATGACGACCGCCTTTCCTCAAAAAATAGAGCAAGGTAGGTGGGTGGATGTTATTTTGGACAATCCGCCAACTGTCCAAAGTTCTCCACTGAAACATTTTCCATGCTGAATTCGTTCTAATCATTTAATCGAATTCAATTCACCGAAACCCAAGTGCATTAACGCTAAAAGAGGGAGAGACAGAAATAATAAAGACAAAAAAAATACACGTGCTACTGCACTTTGTTCCCGTTTGTCCCCGGCATCACGACAGACACGGTCAACTTGACGGTATTGCATAAGTAATTGTCATTTAAAATGAAACTCTGGGCTCATAATAGGTGTGCACCAGAGGTTTGATGATTATGTAATAAAATTTATGCGCGTTGGAGTGAATTACGAGTGAAGTTGAATAGACAGATAAATTTTCGTTGTTGAAGGATCCGTTGGGGTTTCATAAAATCCAGATCCTACGGTCGTAAATTCCGGAGCATTTGAGCTGAATACGTTTACATCCACCTTGAGGAATGTTTAAAGGCCCTAGGTACGTCCCAGCGGCCCCTGTCACGCCTCCAAAATGTTCGAATAACGGAAACTTCACCAAAAATGAAAACCAGCACAAAAAAATTGAATTTTTGAAGCAGAAAGTGGAGTAATTGCCGGCATGTCACGCGGGCTTTCAGGGACTCAATCAAACGTCAAATATTTACAATTCTTGAAGTATTTACTGAACGCCAGAGTGAATCTCTAATAGTTCGAGAAGATTGCAATTGAGCCTCTCGATGACGTTAATGCGTTTTGTTTAATTATGAAGACTTTATCATGTGGTGCATGAGCACAAACGACGCAAGTCACTCGTGTTTATTCGCTTACCTTCTCTTTGGCCCTGCCGGCGTGTTTTTGCACTGTCTTTGCGATTAACGCACTCTTACTCTCAGCCATTTTTCGATGCAATTAAATTAAATTAAGTGCTAATTCAATTGTTCAGTTCACGTTAACACGACAATTGGGATTCCAGTTATTATTCCGAGGAAAATTCCTTGACCACCACTATTTTTTTAGTTCATAGAACTGTGTTACTCCCAATTGACTGAGCTCTCCTGTCAGCACTCACACCAATCACGGACTGAGTGCACTGACGAAAGTGCGGAGAACACTGCAACACCACATTGGAGTTATTAGAAGCCATCTTGGATGAGTTGTCGATATTCACCGCAAGGTGCAGCACTTGTCAGGGAGATGTTCGCCATTTTGGGTTGATAAAACAGAGTTTTCTTCACGCGTGAAGAAATTTGAATTTTTTCAAAGAAATTTCTAAACAACAACATGAATTTTTTGGATCAAATGACTAATGGCACATAGTAAATTATAAACATTATTACAATACACCCGATGTGTTTTGTACAATGAAATTATGCATCGGGGAGAGACTTCTAATTTTTTAAGAAATGTTAATAATTTATTGAATTGTTAAACGAACTGGATAATTTTTCTCTCTTATTATTGGAAATGGGGTATTTGAATAATTAAATTTGGCAAATAAGTGAAAAACTCTCTTTTATTTTATACGCTCGGAAGACACGTCCGCTCTGTACCACTTCCTTAGAGGAACTAACTAAATGACAAAGGGATACAACACCCTGGACCCCTGGTGACTCACACTCGATAGGTCCCACTCATCCAACTTTGTTTAGACTAAGAAAAAGAGCATAAACATCATGCCTCAAACTTCATTATTTGGATTGAAAATCGACAATTTCTATCAAATTTTATGATTTTAAGCAAGCTATACGCTACAAAGAGAAAAATAGTGCCTGATTTTGCGGCGACGTCATTTTTGACCCTATGAGGACCATTTTGGGCTCAAAATGTGTAGAATCCCTCTATATAATAAAAAATAAGTGCAAAAATTCAGGCGAGATTTCAGATTCAGGCGACGCTAAGGTGGTAATGGCGGCCCAGGGTCGGGACAATGTTGGCCCAGGATTGGACCAATGTCGGCTCGGGATTGGACCATTTATCGGGACCCCCTCACATATAGGGACCCTCCATCATATATGAGGACACCCTTCATACTTTCAGAACTGCTATTTCTGTTGCCTTTAACAGGTTTGCCTGATTGGTTTTGTTTTCCCTTTTTTTCGTTTCTTCAATAACATTAATATTTTTGTACTCTTACTTTCTATCGTCCTTTTTGATTCATGTTTTATTAATAAATGTGCATCTTCATATGTATTCATTAAAAATGTTCTCTGTGTTTCTCATTATACGGTCAAATTTGAATAATGGAACTGTTGAAGAAACCATCCATGGTCATACGAGACAGTGGTTGGTGGAGCGGGGGGAGCCCCCCCTCGGGTTGTCGAGCGAAGTGAGCAGGGGGCGGAGTCCCCTAATGTTATCAATATTATCAGAGTATACACAACTAGACATCGACAAAGTAGTCCTTTTCCATGCGGTCGTTCACATTTATTATCTCCTAAATTGTGTAATACAACCAGTTAGAATTGTTTCCAATAGCTGGGGAATATTATAATATTTATCAAAAACATGGGGACAATCGTAAGAAAAACCAGTATTTTAGAAACAATAAAGCTTACCTTAAACATAGTAAAGTCATGGTGGAAGTTGCGTTAACTCATTTTTTATCACATCGCCACTGAACTAATATCCGTTAAATGGAGTAATGTAAAAACATTAATTGTAGATTTGTAAATGGTTTTATTAATAAATTATTCTTTCTCATATTTTGTGATGAGGATTGCTCTAAATAAACAAACTGTATGATAAAAATTCACTTCAACAAACAGAACAGACTGACAAATACACGAATATACTTCGATTAAGGGGAGACAGACAAAATTGTCACAATTAATTACCTTTACCTTTCCTTATTTTTTTCTTTTTTTTTTCTTCAAAAAATTACAATTGACAAAATGTGCAGTTATGGTTGCAGTACGCGCAGAAAGATTTGCTGAAACTTTTACGTTTATTTTCTTTCCCACTGCTTCTCGTTCTGCTTCTGCATGACCTGCAATCTCTAACTTACGGATTGTGAATTTACAGCTTTTTTTTATTCATTTATTTAATTATGGACCTGTACACGATTTGTTTTTACTTCAAATGTTACCTAATATAAATTTGCTTTTTGTCAAAGTCTTGGAAAAATTGGATAAGGCCATAACCAATCTGGCAGCAAGGTGTCACCAGGTCCTCGACTCTACCATAATCGTTTACTTTATTTTATATATTTTTTTTTGTATTTTTTTCATTTTTATTTATTTATAAAACCAATCTTTTCTTACATTCTCACTCTTTTACACTCAAATCATCCACTCTACAATGGTCAGTGTCAATTTCTTTCATCTCCTCAATTTTTCCCATTTTTTTAGTCAGTAGCGTCTGCACAGTCCACTCGTTTTTACCACTAAGTCATTAAATTCTGTCTCCACAATTCTTATTTTTTGTTACTTCGATTTTTGCGCCGATTTTTTACATTCATTGATATTTTTAATCGAAATGATAATTAATGATTAATTCAATGATAGGGATTTTCACTCTGCAGTGACTCGGGATCTATACTTATTTTATTTTGCGAGAGAATTCTATGGAGAAAATTCTATTTTGCGAGGACTTGAAGGGGAAGAATAACTTTCAGTTACGTGATGCAACAATTCTCTCCTATGGATAATTTCCAAGTCCCCAAAATACTCATTAAAATATTCATAATGGAATAAGTAAATTGATTTCCTCCTGCATTTTCACAAACAAATTTTTTATTATTTCACCAAGAATGAAGTGGTGGATCTGCGCAATTAAATGTTTTGGGACAGAAATTAAATGAAACATGAATTTTTTTCGATTTTTTTTTTTGATTAATTGAATTTTAAATGAACATGGATTTTTCTATTCTCACAATAGATCATAAAAAAAAAATTTCATGTGATGAAAAATGATATTACGAAAAAAGTGAACAAGTCGAGACGAATAATATCCAAGAAAGTTCGAGATAAATCATCAAATGATTGAGCGTTTTCATTATCTTCTTTCACCAATATATAATCAACTCCTTAATCATAACTTCATGATTTGAATTATCGATTTGAATAGATGAGAATAAAGTCAAAGGGCGAAAATATATATATAATATATATTAATCAATAAAAAATAAAATGGGCGTTTAATTGCCGAGAAACGCCGTGCGAGTGAGAGTGGCTGATTACGATGATGCACAATCTGACAATTTATTTTCTGTCCCAAAATCTGAAACCAGTGTTTTCTCCATTCGAAAAAAACACGTGCGTCTCCGGTAATCGGTTTATTTTGTAAACCTGTACAAAAAGTTGTTCTTCAATATTTTTCATCATTTCTTCGTTAATTTTCATCATCGTTTAAGAATTAATGGTACAATATTGTATTTAAAATGTAACTTATGTAATCTTAGTACTGATTAACGACGATTGCATTCCAGCGTGACCAGCCTTTGGCCGAGTGGAGCTAACAGACAAATAGCGCTCCATTGTTTTCATTCTTACTTGAGAGTTTAACTGTGTCTGCTGGATGTTCTCTCATTTATTCAGCTCTTGATCTTCGTTTCTTTCTCTCCTGAGACTTTGCGAAACTCATCGATGATTTGAAAACAAAAAAAACATCTTCGTTATCAAGTCTTCGATATTAGTTTTGAAGTGAAATAAAAATGATGATCGAATCATTTCCTTGAGTCTGGAATCGCCTGAGCATTGATCTTGGGAAGAAATGTGAAGACTTTTTTTACAGATAATTTTGTCACTTGCAAAAAATCTTTCGTGGCATTTTCTCCCAAAAATAATTAATTGCTGAGAATTACGTAATCTTCAAGGGTTTTTTATTTCATTTCATCACAGATTCCTCACTCCTGTGCAACACTTCTAATTCTCTAACTATATACTCTATATAAAATATCGTTAGTATAACTAAAACGTGTTGGGTCGGGCTGGAATGCAACCCTATTCACCTCTTTATTCATTATCCTTTCCTTTACCGCTCCCTCGTCTCTTCCTCTCTCATTCCTTTTTTTTTTTTTCATTTTCTTGTTTCTTGTTAATAATTCATCGATTTAATTCTCCACAGACAATTGTTTCAGTCTGATTGTTTATATTTATTTACTCCTCATTTTGTATTCAATTCTTGTCGTTCCTCTGCTTGGGTTCTGGTTTAACTGATAGAGTTATACTAAGTGTCTGTCATTGGTCGGTCTTCTATTTATTTAATTCTTTTTTTTTGTAATTGTTTGATTCCCAGCTGTTCTCACTCGTCGGCGCATTATTGTTATTATTTATATAATAATTTTACACTCATTCAACAGTATCGAAAAACATTCGAGATGCTCTAGTTACCCGGCTCACCTCCGTCTTCATGTTTTCTTTTCTTGCCTCGAGCAGGAGACGATTCTGAAAAGTTTTCCAACATATGAATTTGATTATTTTATCATGATTATTCGTAAGGGGCATATCTTAACACTGACACACTATTTTCTCCATGAAACGACCTGTTAGACACAACAGAATCCCTTTATTTTTTGAGACATTTGATTTTTTGAATAGAAACCTTGTCTGGAGAAATTGTAATCCTCCTATTTTAATGGAGAACCTGCATGAATTTTTTTTCAATTTTCTAATCTCAAGTTTGGGCGTCTTCGTGACGTCATGACCGAAAAATTGACCTAGAAAACGACTGATTTTCAATTAATTATCATAAGACATCTAGGCAATATTTCTCCATAATTTTCGCACGTTTAGCTATCCATAGGTTACGAGGAATGTGTGAATAGGGGAATTAGAAAGAATGAAGCTTCATGCAAGTTCTCTATTGCAGGATTTATATGGTGAATTCTACTAAATTGAAATGTACCACCCCAATTAGACATTGTGCAATCTTAATTCCGCATTGGATAATTCAAACTCGTGAATGTTCAAATTGTTGTGTACGATTCGACAGATATAAATTGAGTATGTGGAATTCAAGAAATCAAATCCACTAATTTGGACCCGAGTTTTATAGATTTTGTGTTTTACTTCAATTGCACATGCTTAAATTATACATATCGAGTTACATATAATATTGATCATTTTGTCAGGAAAATGCTGTGTCGGTGTTGAAATGCA